ACACCTTTCAAATGAGATATTAAATTGAATATTATGATCTCCATTTCAAAAGAGCTGAACAATGGTCTCTTTTCACAGACATGTAATGTTCAATACACATGGATAAATGGCCCAATAAAATTGAAGTTAAATAGTTATGTATGGTGAAGACATGATCACTCTAAAGAGAATTACATTCTGATATACAATAGCATTCAAAATGTATACAGTATTGTTAGGTCTGATTGTAAAGGTGTCAATTTAACTTCAAAATCTTTAAATAAGATTGATCAATTCTTTCCAAAAGATCTAAGGCATGTGAAAACTACCAAAAAGCAAATTTTGCATGATTGTTTGAAATTTTGAGAAAAACAACCAAAAATAAAGAGACATATAAACTCTTATACTACAGTTTTTTGGTGTTTCTTAATTTTCTCCTCGGCCTGTCTTTCGTAAGTTCAATCACTTAATATTCTGTAATTGTTTTCGACAGTATTTTAATTAGAACTTTTAAATCAAATATTTTTATACTATCAAACTTTAATGTCAAAGAAAAAACCCTTGACATTTTGAGCCAGTAAAAAAATATGTTTGCAATGTGCACTTTAGCTGCATCTTTTTTTTTATTATCTCTTTTATGTAGGTAGAATTATAAATACCAAATTTAAAGGGATTGTTTGTAAAGTTTTTATGTGTATCGGGGATACTCATAGCATCAATTTGCACAATTTCAATTTTCATTCCGACATTGTGGTTCTTGCAATACCACGAAAACTAACACATTTTAAAGAAGGGAGCTACCATAAGTTATTATTGATATCTACAGATGTGTTTGATCAGGGTGACTACAAGGATTAATTTTAACTTCTTCAAGAAGAGTTCCACAGATAACTGTGCCTAGAACGCTTTTCATTTACACTACAACTGAAGAACCGTCCTCACACTACTTAATTTGAGTAGTAATGTAAATGGGCACATTTACCAAGAAAGGAACGCTGGTCTTTCCAATGGAAGGGTAGCCCTTCTTTTCTATTTGTGTTTCTGCTACTGAAGCAACTGTCGTTAACTTATTAAATTTCCAGCTGTCACAAGATCTTTAAGTGAACAACCTCTAGCACATGAGGTCTTCATTTATTGTCCTTTCCTAAAGACACCCTTTTTGCTGTGGTCCCTGCTTATCACTGACGGGGAGAAACCTGTTAGAATATGTAATAAGAAAAAGGTTTGTTCATTATCTCTGTAATAAGGAAACATGTGTAGTCAACTAATGACATGAATGGTAGTTTGGTCAACCAAAACACATCAATTTCCGCTCATTAATTTTATAGAATATTTTCTCTTATTAAGATGATCCCACGTCAATGGTCAGATATAATACTGGTCACTATATATTACTATGTCAATGTCCAGTATATATTGGTCAATGACCAAAACATAGGAGTGTTTGATTTGCTTATTATTTCCTTAGATAATCTTACAAACCATTTCTTTTAATAATGTCTCGAAAATAATTTTTGGAATCCATACTCTCATTTGACGACAGTGGTTTTTGACTGGTTTTTGACTGGTTTTTGACTGGTTTTTGCTATAGAATTTTCAAATGCATATTAGAATGGAGTAAGGGCCATGGAAATAAAAAAAAGTTTCATATTTTTCAAAAAGTGTCAATATAAATTTGATTGCAAATTCACCTTAGAACAATTATTAGTGGTACATATATATGCATATTAATGAAGGTAAGAACTTGTCTTGTAACACCTGCCATCTTGCAATATGCCTTTTGTTACTCCTTTATTTCAAACGCTATTTCTGTGCCTTTCGTTAGATGTCAGTGTTTACAATTTCTATATAAATTTTTAGTAATTCAAAAAAAGATCTGAGAATTCTGCTTTAAAACTTTAAGATTTATATAGTATCAATATTATATTTGTTGTGATATTAAATTTATTTGAAAATTATTAGTGTGTAATTTAATAAGCTTGAAAGTGTGTTTAAAAACAGGACAAGACCAGTAATGGCCCACTTGAATAGTAAATAACACATTGATAAAATTGTATCCAAAACAGTTTAGGTTGTCAATAAGTATCTGGGAGTGTACTCAGTGACTCTCACTCCCTTGTCAGAAGAAATGAGGATGGACAAGGGGAAGAATATTGACAATGGTAGGGGGTAAATTGATAAACTAGTCTACCTTGTCAATCAACTGATAGCAGACAACAATCAGCCTTCGGCATGCTTAATTGAATTTCCGCTTTTAGTCATGACACACTCGTCTTTAGAAAAGAATAAAAGTTGAACCTGTTGATTTCTAAATCACAATAGATGACAACCAAAAACAAAACATACAAAATACTGAAACTTTAAGTTTGACTACAGTCGACAATTATTTTCATCTAGTTTTTTTGGAACCTTCATTAATGCAGAAATCACATGAATACATTGAATTTCCCTTTTAATGAAAGTGTTAAACATAATTTTTGCTTTAAATTATTTTTCAAATATCATTCCGGTGATATTTTAATTGGCAGGTGTTTCTCAAAGATGTAATCCCTAAAGTTGAAATTTCAGGACTATCAACCTTTAAGTATATCCCTTTCAGTGAAAAATATTTATTTATAGCCCATTGACCATGTATCTAGCTTGATTAATTTGTGGGCATTGTTTTAAGGCTATTGTTGTTTACATGTATCAATGTCCTATAATGACCCAATAGGTGTTGAGACCTTCAGGCTATTTGTCACAAGGTAATCATTAGTGGTCCTATACAAATTCTCTACCTTTCAACCATATCCCAACACTGGTGTGATTCATATAGAAATCTTGTCTTTTATCGTATTTTTCACCTCACCCATTCATAACTTTACATAGTATATTAACCAAATATATTTTGGTTATCCAAAAGGCTTCAGTGTTTTCAAATTAAAGGTTGGCTCTCCTAAATATTTGAATCAAAGTTTGGTATAGTCATTAAAAACAGATATATAACTTGCTTCTCTGTTCAAACAGGGCTTCAGGGTTCAGTCGCGGCATAGGTTGAGATAATACCTTCGGATTTTTCAACTTGTTTCCCCCTGTCAGTGATGCATCTAAGAGGGGCTGACATGGAAAAAAAGTCTCCAGGAAATAGAAAAAGAGCAGACTGATGCCACTTTCTCTCTTTGCACCCTGCATGGTGTTGCCTGTCTTCATTAGCCCACATGCTGCAAAAAAGTAGGACGTAATACTCCATTTCATTTAATGTTTTTCCAAATTGTGCTTCTGAAAAATGTACAAAGCCCAATAGTATGCATTATTATATACATTCACTTTTTTGTGTTGTTGTTTTACTCGAGTGCTTAAAAGGCATTTTCTAGTCTATCTTCTTTTAATCTGAAAGTTTACCTTTAAATATTATTTACACTTCCTGCTTTCAAATTTTTCCTTCTCTTTTGGGCTGTAAATGAAAGAGCTTATATTGAATATTTTGTTATCTTGTTTGTAAAAATGACTTTAAAGTTTTAATTTATTACCACAAACAAAATTTATTTCAAATGAAAACATGTAAATAATTTGTCGTCTGCTAATGAAATCAATAAACAATGTAGATATACAATTTAGATATAACAAACTGGAAAACTTATGGGTGACATCATATCTTCCTTCAACCCTAGAGAGGTGTATTATTTATATACATAGATATACACAAGTATGTCAAGTATTATATATATATATATATATATAGATATATACCTTATTGTCACGCTTGGTAGCCTATGAGTCTTACTCTCTTTAATGTTGTCAATGAAGGTAAACTAGTATAGCTCACTAGAAGCCAGCTTAAGTCAACATGTGTAACATGCAGTTACTTTGACCATTATTTCAGCCCATCAAAGGGTTTCAGTGTCAACAAGCACGTCAACGGATGATTTTCAGTAGGAAGATACTCAGGAGTTGGTGACCAGAAGTTATCAAGGTGTATCAAGGATATAACACCCGGTTTTGTTGACATGAAGGCCGGACTGTGAGGATAACAAGTAAAGATTCTGAGGGTTATATTTCAAACTACAGTCTTGTCAGTGTAAAGGATGGATATTTGATGAAGTGTTTCGAAGGAATTTTTATTTTTATATCTTATCAGAAGGACTCCTCACATAGCACAGCTTACATTGCAGGAAGAAATATACAGGTGGCCCAATTTAAAATATGTGTACAAAATGTTTTTAAATTTCGTTTCGAGTGAAAGATTGTGTTTTTGTGGACATCATTTGTAACAATATTAGCTGGAATTTTAAGGCGTATCTAACAAAAATATGAATTTCATAACAAAAAAAGTTGAGGTGTGAGTTAAATTTATGATATTAATAGATACTATGTGAGTCAGTTCGTGCCTTCATAAATGAAATATTTTGGATCATTTTGTTAATGGATGAAATCTGAAATTATTTTGTTTGAAATCCATGGACTATAAATTTGCTGGAATAATTTGTAGAAGATCTGAATACTGGATGAATGAATCACCTTTGAATTGTGTAATACCAAATCTTTTTTTTTCGAGTCTGTATTTGTTATTACAGAGGATCAGTCCAAATATTTTGTTAATCTGAATTTGTGGCCAAGAGAAAAATGTGGATTGAAGGGGATTAGGAAAGACTAGTGGTGTTGTTAAGCTGTGATTAGGAATGAGTGACTATTGTTTAGCCCAATGGCTAGATAAAGTTTACAAATAGCTTGTATGAATAACATGAAGCATTACCAAATTCAACTTTGTGTTTACAAACATTCCTTTATGGTGATTTGACTTAAAATTGACTTAAACTTGTGTTTATCTTGGATTCATTCATTCATCTAACTTGATTTTTTATTGAGTAAACTTTTTTGTGGAAAGGATAAATGATTAAGATATAAGTTGGACTCTTGAAAAATGAATTTTTTAGTGAAAATATTTTCAATGTGGATTTGTGATTTGAGTAATCACATGGATGACATTTTTTAAAAATTTTGACAAGGATGTAGACATAGTTAACCATAGTTAACCTTCAGTTATGTCGTCTGCTAGTTTGGACATACTGTCTTTAACAGCAGTCAAAGATACCAGTGATGATTCCTCAGTTAGTGAATTGTCAGACATCTTGAACTTTTCCAATGTCAGTTCTTCTGATCTATCACCTTCAGTTGAACTACGATGCAAACGCTACTCTCCAAACCCAGATTCAGCAGAAAAAAAAGACTTGCGTGGCAGACGTAAAACACGCATGGCACCACAACCACCAGGACATGGTATGAGGAGATCTGTGACTGACAGCGGATTGAGTCGTAGCAGGAGTTTTAACTCAGACAAGACTAGAAATCAAGTCATAAAACAAGCGTCTACAGACTCTGACAGTCAAGTCTCACAATATTTGGACTTGGACAATAATAATAAAAATGAAAAAGAGACTCCTTCATCTCTAAGAGGTGTGCCCAGAGACAAATCTAGGTTTAAGGCTTTGAAAGACGCTTTACGTTCTCCAAGACATATCAGGAAAAATTCTCGTCAAGAGAAGACCCTCCAAAACAGTCCAAGTCCTAGTTTAAGTAAATTTCGTGTGAAAAGGACTCCTGTAACTATTGTGTCAGAAAATTTAACTTTTGGAATATTATCAGACTATGTTAATAATGAATGTGAATTTGAGGTGAGTGTGTTTTCAAATGGCTTTTTAAAAATGTAGACAGGAAACCACATCCCCCCAACTTTAAATGTAAAATGTAAGAATGCAGGTGGGTGGGATAGGGTATCATTATTATACTTCTGTTGATAATGAATGATACACTGTATTCAAATGAACACAATTTAAATAGCCTTCAATGCAAAAACCCCCTTATTTTAAAGAATAGTGTATATATAGAGCAGTTAATCTTTCAGATCTATCCAATTTAGTTGTAACTGTGCAATTATTGACAACACAAATAATATACAATTATCACATCAAGGATAGACTCAAACATGCAGTATAATGTTACAAAAGCACTTAATAAAACACATTTTGAAAATTTAATGGTCAAATTTCATAAATTTAATTCATGAAAATATTTAACATCACCAAAGAATTGTTTTTAGAAATGAAAAATTCCCTTAAAAACCATATTATTTTAAGGCAAGACATGAACCCAATTTAATGTTCACAATTATATTTACATCCTTGTTTATTTGACATCACATTCAAAGTCATGAGTAAGCTGGCAATTTTGGTTGGTAAATTAAGATTTCAAGAAAGAATGGAAGAACCATTTTTTACAAAAACTTGGGTTCCGATCTCGATCAGCATGTGAAAGTCTGAATACCTTGAATAAGTCATCTTCATTCATAATTCCTGTCAACCCAACTGTAAACGGATACGGATAATTTAGGAAAGATCAATGCTAAGAGGTTTAGCCAAGGACTAGCTGGTAGAAAGGATCCTTAACCTAAGTTGTCATCCTTGTAAAATATAGTTGTTTTTTTCTTTCTTTTCATTAATTATGGATTGGGTTACAATTAGTCTTATTCCAAAAATCTCATCATCACTTCTTAGTTGAAAGTGATTTATATGGTAATCAAAAAAAATCAAAAGGACCGAATTTTTTTGATGGTAGAAGCTGTTGTGGTCATTTTCAGTTTTAAAATAAGTCAAAATATTGTTAATATGGATCTTAGGCTGATGACTGTGGAAAATGTGGTTGGTTGTGAATCCTGGAACATTGGGCCAGTTGTTCATTGTACAGACCGTTTCTTTTTTTTTAATGGTGACATTCATGGGCACCTGTGTGGTTTTTTTGTTTTCAATTCAATTTATAGTTTACATATTTCATAAAGCAAGGAAAAGAAAAAATATAAAAGTAGTTGTTAATTGTAAGTAGCCTTGGTTTTAAAATGTGCAAGGTTTTCAAATGTTATTAGAATAAAAGGTTAGAGCACTGGAAAAAAAAGTTAGTCTGAATTCTTTAAATGTCAATGATCGGACAAAACATGTGATCTGAATGAAGAATTCAACTTAACAATGCACCAGAAGACAATTGAAACTTTTGAAATACACATTGTTCATGACTTAAGAGGTTTTTAGCAAACGTCTTAAAAATGGCAATCACATACCAAAACTACAACAAAATGTCAGCCAAAATCAGTGAGTCGTACTTCGGTGACCTATGACCTGATTAGGCGTAGATTAAGTGGGATCTTCAGATAATTATCTCATGCGTACAAATTTACTGTTGTTACTCACGTTTTTTTTTTCATTCACTTTCACTTCAAATGAAAATACATATTTAACTTTTGAATCATTGAGTTTTCGGTTCAAGAGTTTTCAATCTCCGTTTGATTTGATGTTTACTGTGTTTGACTATAAAACCCACTAAATCTGTTTTTTTCCAGATATTTCATGCTTAATGCACTGAATGCTCTTATGTAAAATAGATTTTTTTTCATGTCTGAAATTTCATGTACCATTTTACATATGAAATATATTCAAAAGAAATATGTCATGGGTATAATATATGAATGTACAAGCCATCCTCGTGAAAATCTGTGTTTTTGGTGGTTCCTCTAGATTTGGGAAACACTGCACCATCTATGATAGCTGATTCTATCTACTATGATAATAATTACACTTTAAACTATATATTGTTTAAAGATCCCTCGACAGTTGGAAATAAAAAAAGAGCAGGCTAATGCTGCTGTCCTGGCAACATTTCCCACATTGTACCCTGCATGGCGATGCATTAGCCCACATTGTGCAGAAAAGTAGGACGTAAAACTCCATTCATGTCATTTCATAATTAGAGAGTTGTATAACACAAGCAACTGACAGTTACTGACCTTTCAGTGGTTGACGCACCGAGATGCTGCCAGTTTCAAGTTCGAAAGGAGCCAGAATTGTGAATACTTTTCACAAATTGTCATTTCTGGTGGATGTCTTTAGTTATGTTGTTGAATCATATATATATGATATATTTGGCCTCTAGAAAATGATAGATGTAAAATTTTATTTAAAGAAATAACCATAAAATTTTGAAAATTTTATTTATGAAGGGAACATGTAAATTTAACGGTACTCAACGACTAGTATTGACTTTAGGTGTTAATACTAAAGATAATAATTCAATAAGTCAAGGACATACTTTTATTTTTAGATTGACGTCACTTTACTAAATGACCAAAGGGCAATAGATGTATTTGAGTTATTTTTAGCTACCAACTGTGTGAATTACTGACCATTATTGCATCTGGCTGTCTGAAGTTGAGGACATTATGATAAAGTGGGGTTATGCCAGATGACATGGCTTTGGTATGAATACTCTGTCACTGTTGACATCTGACATGAGGAAATGACATAAGTATGCAAGATATGTCTGCGTCTGCTAACTTCACTGTAATATTTTTTCATGTTTAAAAGGTGTTTAGAAATGTAATCCCTTGATAAGTAGTCTATATAAATAAAAACCCTGTCTGGAGAAAATAAGCATTAAATTATCAATTATCAGAATATCTATAGATTCGTTGGAATCTTTGACGTCAAACATGTTCATGATGTCAAGCTCAGTTTTGTCAAACAAACAGCAGTGAAAGGGTTCTTGAAATTGTTTTGAATTATTATGAAAGTCTGATGGCCTTGAAATCTTATGATACTAATGTTAATGGGTACAGATAATCCAGGAAAGATCAATGCAAAGAGTATTTTGGATGCACCAGACGGTAGACCAAATCCAGAACAACAGATGTAGTGAACATCTTCTGCAGTGTTCAAGAGTTCACTGTATTAGGTACAAACATAACTACACTCAAGATAACAAGATATCTGACAGGATCTGAATACACTTTATCTTGTCATGTCTTTAGTCTCACTCATGACTTCTTGTCGTGATGCAGTGAATATAACATTTCTTTATATAAATATAAGTTATAGCACACGACACACGTCACACCCAACTTACCGGTATAAATATGATGTATATTATTGTTAGGTGATCAATACTACAACATGAAGTCTATTATATACCAGATGATATTTGAGATCATAATGTAGGACTAATTAATGGAACCTAATTAAGAACTGCCAATTAGACATAAAAATCCTTTGTGTTCAAAGAAAGGCAATGACCTTCATCAAGCTACCAAATACAAGGAGATTATTGAGCACACGAAAAATTTAAAGGGGCAAATAGAGCTTCTGTGTATGATGCAGGATTATTGATAAATGTATGGTATGGGTTCGAACACAATTCACTGCTTCTATTTTCTACTGTGTCCACAATCTGGCACTGAACACTGGTCTATTGGCATCTTCAGAGTGACATTACCCTAATCTCTGCCATATTGATCTCTAGTCAACCCAGCTGTAAATAAGTAAAGGCAATCTAGTAAAGATCAATGTCAAAAGTATGGCAAGCTTCAGCAGGTTCCTTGAGAACCTCAGTTGTTATACTGGTAAAATATGGTTGGTTGTTTCTTTCACTCAAAGGGTATTTTTCAAAAGTCAAATCCTTTATGTGTAAGTAAATGTGTAAGAAGCTTAGTTTTTTATTGTCAAAATTCATATGAAAAGATTGTGATTTAAATTTGGCCTTGTAAGCTACCTGTAATTGGATCACTTCCAACTTCACACAAAAGGACCTGCACTGTAATAACTTAGTTAATAGTCCAAATTGCTCTAAGTATAGATATACAGGCTCAGAATGAAAGCCAGCAAGCTACACTAAATACACAATAGATATCATTATATCATTTTTTATAACTATTGTGTTGGTGATCACGGCTTTCCACTTTCCTGATCGTGTTCAATAAGCAATTAATGACCATATAAACATATACTAATGTTCAATTCCTAGGCTTATACCAATCATTTTGATGCAAAAGAAGAGCAATTTATTAGCGTCCAAAGTCTTTAAAGAAGGGAGTTCTGCAGATTGTGTGTATTTCACGCTTTAGGTGATGTCTGTCACACAATCACACACCTGCATGTAATTTACAATGCAGCTAACTTATAAGATAATTGCATTACATTACAGTTGATTATTGTACTTGATTACAGTGTGATTACGCATGTTACCCTGCCTTATGTCAACACAATTACCAGACTACACTGAATGTTTAAAAGTGTGCAGAATCTTAAGATATAATGGCAAGCAAATACCACCTTTTTCCTACTGATAATTGACATGCGCTGATTTAATTTGAGCTCTTAAATGAATGAGACCTAACCTGTGGAAAGGTTTGGTTAAGTAAGCTCTTAAGAGATAATTGGTTTGATCTTATAGTGCTCTTCATTCTTTGATTCTTACAACTTTGAAAATTTTGGTTTACTTTCCAAATGTTGTATGAATGGAACATCACCCACATGGTTAAGAGTCCATTGGTGAAAGGTTTGTTTAAGTAAGCTCTTAGGGAGATAATTAGTTTGATCATGGTTTTAATCTGTATTCTTTAGTTGTCCTTTTGTAAGATATCTGATTTTTTTAAGGATTGTGCCCTTTATTTGTTATATTCATATACAATGAAATGTCAATGAATGTATTTTGAAAAGACAAAAGGTTTCAGCATACCTCCTTTCTTTGAATCTGCCAATTTTTGTCTTGAAGATGGCAGAAATACATTTTTGGCGACTCAAGAACATCGAACAAAGCATTCATTTCAATTTTGAGCTGTCAAGAGTATTATCTGATATTTAATCGTAGACATCTGATTTTCCTGATTCATCAAAATAATGACCAACTGTCAATATAATTTGCATCTTGATCAGAAAAAACTGCAAGGTATTTGAATAAATTTGCATAATAATGTGGAAATTGTTACACTGTAAACACCTTGACCTTATAAGGTCACTGAATTTAACACCATTCATCAAAAGTAGCCTGTTGATTTTATGCTTGAAAATCAGCATATTAATAGACGTAAACATGATAGTCATTTTCTTTACAAGTGGTCAAACGGTTTTTAATTCACATCTTTTTACACTGTCAACCTTCCGGACACCACGATTTCTCCATGATTCATTGATTTTATGATTCATTCTCTTTCCTTTGATGTTAAAATATTTACCTTCCTTGTCTTTAAATGCAATTTAACCACGAATAACCCACAATGCTTAATTGTTTAGTTTAAATTCGACTGAAAAGGAGGCAAGTCAAATTGGGTGTCTGCTCAGTATGACAGCCATATTTGATTTCAATTGAATTATAGGTGTGACACTTATCTGGTATAGCCAATTGCGTTTTGGGAAGAGGGATGGGTTGTTAATGAAAGAAGGTTTTTTAAAAAGGAGATAGATTTAGTGAAAAAGAGGTCAAATTTGCCGTCTGCTAATCATAATACTTTGAACTTCTGTTTCCTTTTGTTAATTGAATGTATAAGATCATGACGACACTTAAAATTTCTTGAGGCATTTTCATGTTATCTGATGGTCTATTGTTAATGAGTAAACACACTTTGAAAACAATTATCTCATAAATTGAAATTAAAACAAGAAGTTGTTGACTGTCAACTCTTGAAATTTTTACGTCACGCTATCACGGAAGTCTTATTTGATTCACGTGGAAAGTAATTTCTAGTGTCTTTATCCATAAATTAGTTCTTGATTTCAGCTAAATAGTCAACTTTTTTGGACAAAGGAGGGTAAAGGATTGGTTGGGGAAATTACACTCTGAAACCATTGAATTGACATGACCATTTTGAGAGTTACCAATTTGGGTAGCAGTTTCAGCTTAACATGGAAATAGAACTGTAAACTTCATGAATGCATATCAGATGTGCCATTTTGGGGGATTGATTTGAGTCTTGAAAATATTTAAATGGTCTTTAGAAGTACTAAAAATATATCTTTATAGAGTATATTGTCATTTTAATATTCAAACACAGATAATTCTGGCCACACATGGATTTGAAGGCTCAAATTTCGACGGTGAACTGTGAACACTATTACTGATTGGCTTCGCTAAAAAATTCTCCATTCTGAGACTAAAGTATGATTGTTCAAAAAGAATGGTGCATCATTCCCTTTAACCTTTGTTTCTGAATAAATTTACCAAATCAAAGCATGTTAAGGATTGTAAAGAGGTTTTCTAATCTTTTTATGTGTATCAGTATCAATTTGTATCATCCCAATTTCAGTTGTGGGTCTGTGAATACCTTTAAAAATCTGAATTTAATGATGTCACTGCTAATAATTTAAGATTTTAAATAATGTCTGATTAAGTATTTGGTGTTTCAGTGTTAACTGACCTCAAATATTAAAGATTATTGTGGTCATGGCAGGTATTTGTTGACAGTGAATAAAAAAAAGGATAGGTCTAGTTTGATTGCAGTAATGAGGCATGGAATTTAAATCTGAATCAGTTGAGTAGATAAGAATAGATATAATGTGAAATGTATCTATATCATACTTCATAAAATTT